CTATGAATAAGATTATTTTTTAACATATTTATTGATTTGTTAGTACCAAAGATGTAATTGCATAATGACCTTGAGTCTTTTTGAAACAAGTTGTTATTTTTTCTAATACTTTTCCAAGTGTACTTTGATAGTCTTGTTAGTAAAGGTAGTTTCATTCAAGCAATGGCTTACTTAAAATGACTCTACTTCCAAAAGATAGAAGTGACTTCATTATTTCCATTTGTTTTACAATATTCTCATGAAGGATAAAGACACATGGGAAATCTGAGGAACTTCTATAAGAAAAATAAACAATACTTGTTATCATAATTCTGATTAGAAATAATTGAGTTGGACTTTTTGTGTTTAATTGAAGAAACTAACTGACTTGCTCAAGGCTACTTGGGAGGTTGGGGATAGAGCCCAAATGAGAACTCAGGGTAATTAATTTCCATGCTAGAACTATATCTGCTCTGTTGTCGTATGATTAACCAGTGGCATATAAGAGTTGATAATCTATGAAACAGGTGGAGATGTGAAAACTTTCTAATAAAAATACTTCTTCAGTGGGTCTTGTGCTTGTTCCTTCATGTAATGGTAGAATATTGAATTTTGACTATAGTATTTATTTTGATATAGTGAAAATTTGAAACATTTTTCCCTGCATTAAAAATTCCTAACATTTTTTTCTTTATACTTTTACTCTAATGCTATAACCTTTGGCTAGTACTTAGCCTTCTTGGTGGCAGCATAGGTGAATTGTAATGTATATTTCAGTTATATTCATCTTTAAAGCATTAACATGAAATATTCAAAAATACTTTTGGTTTATTTCAGGTGGATAATCCAGTTTCTGTTTTAACACAAGAGATGAGTAAGCAGTTCTTACAGTCCAAAAATGAGGGAGACAAATACAAAGTAAGGGGCACCAAAGTAAATATAAATCTACCCAAAAGGAATACATTTAGATATATTTCTTGCTCACATGATAGAGACTGAATTTTGTTTTGTTTTTTTCTTAAAGCCACCTATTTAAAGTAATATCGTAGGACTAGATTAAGAATTGTTAAGTAAAATGGGAGTGTAGTTTTGGTAAATCCTTGTTTTCATTTTTTGGCTTTTAATTCTTAATCTTTAAAGAAATACAAGGTAACAGTTGGCCATAATATGTAATAATTTGTAAACCTTAAACTACTTAAAATTTTAAAAGCTAACAAAATATTTGACTACTACTAAACTGTCTGCGTAGCCTTTTAAATGAGTTTTGGTATTTCCTATTCTAAAAATTTAGGAATGCACAAAGATCAAAGCTGCAAGTGTTTTTAGTCATTTTTGCTTAAAGAACTGAATTAGTAAAAATGAGCTTTCAAAATAGTATTTTCTCTCATGGAGTTTTAAGAGCTTTTGCAAATGTGAGCATAGCAGTTCAGTAAATTTGAGTGTGAAATATTAGGTCATTAAGTATGAAATGTCTGATTTCGAAGCAAAAATTTAGTTTATTATATCTCAAAGAAGAAGCAGTACAGTTAATCAAAGTATGCACCTAAACTATCCACACAGTTTTGCCATCTTAATGGTAGCTTGTTTATACTAGCAGTGAAGAAGCCTGGAGAGCCAGTGGCGATGAAAACAGCATTTTCCATAGCCTGTTGAGAATTGAATATTTTTCCTTGCAAGAAGTGGTAGTCAGTTGGTACAAAATCTGGTGAATACGGTGGATGACAGAGAGTTTCTAAGTCCAGCCTCTGTAGTTTGAGTAGTGTTGTTTGTGCAACATGTGGCCAAGTGTTGCCTTGCAAGAGGATTGGCCTGTCTCTATTGACCTATCTCAGCTGCTTAATGGCAAGCATCCTCATCATTTCATTCAACTGGTTGCAGTAGACATCCACTATAATCAATTGACCAGGTTTTATATCAGTGTTGGAGCACTAAACAGACACCATCAGCTTTTTTTGATGAATATTTGGTTTTGTACTGTGTTTTGGCACTTCATCTTTATCCAACCATTGTGCTGAATGCTTGCAATTGTCAAAAAGAATCTGTTTTTCATCACATGTAATAATACGGTATAGAAATGGTTTGCCCTTATGTCGTGACAGCAAAGAAAGGCAAGCTTCGAGACAGTTTCTCTACTGGCATGTGTTTAATTCATGTGGTACCCATCTGTCCAGCTTCTTTACCTTGCTGATTTGTTTCAAATGGTCCAACATTGTTGGAATAGTAATGTCAAACCTTGCTGCTAATTCACACATAGGTTGAGATGGATTTGCTTCCACTACAGTTTTTAGCTTATCATTATTCACCTTGGTCTCAGGTCACCCACATGGCTCACTTTCAAAATTAAAATCACCAGAATGGAACTTCTCAAACCATCGACATACTGTGAGTTCATTAGCCACATCTTTCCCAGACACTTTGATGATATTTCAAGCTGTCTGCTCTGCATTGGTTCCATGACAGAACTCACATTAAAAAATAACATGAATCTTTGACTTATCCGTGGTTCCACAAAAATTGCTCTTAAAAAAATGTGAAAGATAATTACTAGCCAAAATGTACATTTGAAAGAGTGAAGATGTACCTTCACAATAGGGGGAAAAAACCAAGAAGTGTCAAAGTGAAATGACAGATATCAACTGTCAAACTTACGACTTAAGGAAATCAGGTGTTTCATACTTAATGACCTAATAAGATGTGTTCTTTTGTGTTTATGTGTACTTGCTTATGTTTTTAATGTCTTTTTACATAATTGGTCTGAAAGTTTTCAGAGAGCAAATTTTTCCTTTTCTGTTTTCACAGTTCCATGGAAGTTTACAAACTCCTAATTGTGTTTTTCTTGTTGATATAGTTCTTCATGAAAGCAACCCAACTTGAACAAATGAAGGAGGATTATTCATACATTATGGAAACAAAAGAAAGAACAAAGGAGCAGATCAATCAAGGAGAAGAGGTTTGTAAACAGTTAATATGAATTTTTTTGAGATCAACCAAATTTCCTGTAATACGTAAAGTAAATGATATTGTAAAATTATGTATCTGTATATTTATATAAAAATAATAACATTTTTATAGCACCCTATGAAGTATATGAAGTGTGGTTTTTATATTCAGGGTATTTATCAGTCTTTACTTTTTTGCTTTGTAATAATGGGTATGAACATGACTTACTTCCTCTGTTAGACTGTAAGCTAGAAGGCAGGGCAGCATCTTATGTGCTTATCCCTTGATGTATGACTAATTGGTTTTGTAATAAGGTATCGCTAAGTCTCACTATAAGCAGTTTAAAAACTATAACATTTCTTTTGCTGGGATAATAAGCACAAGACTCACACTGATAGTAAACATAGTATGCATTTATAATTACGTTTGCAATTATAAATTATAGAGGTGACTCTTTCATTACACTGGTGAAATGTTAACATTCCTTAAGCAACTGATAGCTTAGTAGCAGCTGTCACATCATGTTACTCACTAGCTTGACAGCTGTGCAAATTTGCTTCAATTTTAAATCACTCGTGCCAACCATGACTTATTTAAATTTGTTTTTACATGCCATATTTTGTTCTTGTACCTTCTCCTTCAGATTCCTGATGATCCAAACTGTTATTTGATGATCAGAGACTTCAGAGTCATAAGGCTTACATTACAGCTGTTTATCCAGTACATTAAGTCCCACCAATTTTACATGATTCCAAATCTTGTTCTTTTGTTAAGTCAGTTTTATACAACCAGTTGAGCGTTCATCAGCTTTTTAGCTTACAATTTGAGGTCGAATTGTACTAATAATTGACTGAAGTCAAATTCATTAAGTGTTACACTGAACTTTCTACTTTAGGGTTTTGAGGAATACATGTTGTAAATTAGGCCTGTAATTGTGTGGTTCATTAAGTGAAAACTCAAAAATCAGGAATGAGTATATTTTTATTCCCCTCATCATCCTTTCAAGCCTGGATTACATGGTGGTGTGCAAGGAGCTACTGTAAGCCACAGAATTAATACAGTACATTTTTTTGGAGTATCAGTGTTCCTATTGGGGAAAGAGGTAGTATTTGTATATTTAAACAAGTCATACATAGTTTGTTACATTAATTATTTTAAAAATAATAAACAGGGACTTTGAAGAAATTTGTTTGCTTCAGACCTCTTGGGGTTAAGCACACACTTTCTACATGGTGTACTTTGTTCTCAACAATTAAAAATATTTTGATTATGAAGTTTAAGAAGCATTTCCCTATATTGTGTAGCAGAGTTCTTGATACTTCATATACACTTAATAAGAACTGTTTTCCTAATTGATTAAATGCCTTATATTAAGCACACACTTTCTACATGGTGTACTTTGTTCTCAACAATTAAAAATATTTTGATTGTGTAGCAGAGTTCTTGATACTTCATATACACTTAATAAGAACTGTTTTCCTAATTGATTAAATGCCTTATATTCTCAAAATAAACTCTGGGTTTGAATAGTTAAATCTTTAAGAAATAGTTATGTGAAGATTAGAAACTAGAAGTCATTCCATCAACAAATATTAAATTACTAGCATTGTGCTTTGGCTATTGGGCATATAATGACAAATAAATATCAGGATTCTTGGGATTATGGACCTGACTATTTAGCAGGAAACATAGATGGTAAATAATTTGAGTATGGTGAGTCCTACTAAAGTAGCTATAGACTAGGTTTGTGCAAAAGCACTTAATAGGGCACTAGTAGTGGGGGGTGGGGGAATTAATGACAAGGGGAAGTTATTAAGGAAGTGATGTCTAAGATGAGAACTGAAGGATGAATAATACCAGGTAAAGAATGGTGAGAGTAAGGAAAGGTGCTCCAAGAAATAGCGTGACTGAAGTCTCAGGGGTAAGAAAGCATGTAGTTCCTTTAAAAAAAACTGGAGGAATTCCACATTGGCTAGAGTGAAGAACACAAGAGTGAGAGATGAGAGGCCAGACTGTGGAGGACCTTGTAAAACTTAATGGCAGTAGAAGACATGAAAGTGGATGACTTCATTAATTGGGTATGTTCAATAGATTATTCTGCTGTAGAAGAGAGTGAACTGCTGTAAGGAAAGAACAGAGGTAGAGAGATTAGTAAAGAAGGTATTATCATTGTCCAAAGAAATGATGAGGATGTAAGTTAGTATATTGGCAGTAGTAAGGGAGAAAAGAACTTTGAAATGATCTGGACAGATGTTATAGGGGACATGGAGGGATAAAGTTAAGACAGAGGCATCAAGGGTGGCCTAAGACCTCCAGATTAATTACCTCAGCAGTAGAGTAAATTTATTGAGATAGGAAGCATGGTGAAAGGAGCCAGTTTTGTTTCATTTCTTTTCTTCTTCTTTTTTTTTTGTTTTTTAAAGAAAGATGAATTCCATTTGAACACATTAATTTTAAGGTGCTTATAAACCATACAAGTGGAAATGTCAAGGGGGAAGTTGGAAATATGAGTTAGGGATACAGAAGTCAAGTCTAGCTTCAGTGAAAATTTGGGAGTCATCAGTATATTATTAGTATCTGAGCAGTAATTGCTGAGGGGAAGACGAAAAGTGGGCCTAGGCCTGAACCATTAGAAATACTCATGGAAGCCATAAGAAGCCAAGGGAGGAGAGAATTTGAGAAGGAACAAGTCAGGACTGTGAGATGTACTGTGTGGTAAAGCCCTATAAGAATTGATAAAACTCATTGTATTTAGTGACATAATCATAGATGACTGTGGCAAAATGGGTGAAAACAAGCCAGATTTGTGGGACTAAAAACTGTGAGGAAATGGAGAAGATAGAGATAGTTTTCATGAAACTTGGATGGGAAGGGAAGAACAGTTTTAGGGGAGGAGGGGGTACCAAGGGATGGGTAGTAGTGGTTTTGTTTGAAATCATAAGCAAGTAGAGATGAACATGGTAATGGAAAAGAGTTAAGAGGGTGAAGTGGAAACAAAGATAAAAAGATGGGATGGAAAACCAGTGAATTTAGACCTTTGAGAAGGAAGAAGGTGGGGTCCAAGATATAGGTAGGGGATGGGGACTAGACTTAAATATTATGAGGCCACCTCTCTTTTGTTGCAGAAGGAAAAGATGACTGCTTTAGATTTGTAGATAAGGTTGTTGGAGGTTGGAGGGAGTTTCTTTCTGATGGCTTCTAAATTCTCTGAAGCTGGAGATAGAAAATGAATGAGGGAATAAGGTGGCAGTGTGTGTGTGAGGATTGAGATAATCCTGGAGAATGGGAAAGTGAATTGGATAGGGAAACGAAGTAAGATCTATAGTGTTAAGGCCCTAGTTAAATACGATAAGCATGAAGGAAGAGGAGAGGCTGTCTACCTAAGTATACAGAATATGACATCTAAAGCCACTTAAGAAGCTGTTCTAATGTCATAATACTTAATATTTGGTGATTTTATTATTAATTATTAAAAGAGAACTTAGAAAAATTATGACTTGTTTGAATTTTAGAAATATTTTCCTTGTGATCCTTCCACTTGCTTTGGAATGAGTAAAGAGGGAAAACAGGAAAACAAGTTTTGGCATTTATCTATACTCGTATGGTCTTGAACTTTTAATTCTTTTGCTTTTCTTCATCTGATGAAATGGCCAACATTTTTATAGTGCAGAAATTAGCAAAATTATTGTGCCTATTAAAAGTATACCAAAGAACCAAAAATATTTTTATTTCCACTTCAGAGAAGTCATTTCCTAACAAATCTTTACGTAGTACTTGTTTAGGCATTGTTTTCAAAAGAAATACATTTGCAAAATGTCTTTTTTTAATGTTAATAAGAAATATATCCTTTCTTTTTTTCTTTTTTAAGCGGCTTACTGAACTAAAGCGCCAGTGTTTGGAGAAAGAGGAACGTTTTCAAAGTATTGCTGGTTTAAGTACAATGAAGACTAATTTAGAGTACTTGAAACATGAAATGGCTTGGGCAGTGGTAATTTTCACTTAATTACTTGTTCACATATATTTGTGATATATAGAATATATTTGAATATATTTGGTTATTGTTCATCTAATCAGTGATTTGCTATATGATTTCTTCTTCAGGTCAATGAAATTGAGAAACAGTTGAATGCCATCAGAGATAATATCGAAATTGGAGAAGAGCGTGCTGCTAGACTTGACAGGAAAATGGAAGAACAGCAGGTAATTACAGTTTTTTAAAGATTTATTAGTAGGTTGAATCATATGAAATTGCTGATATTAGTCTATTAATGAACCCACAAAAGTGACAGTTTCAACCTGTATCTATATCTATTTTTGAATTTATTACTCAGGTGAAGCAGAGTTTTTCCAAGGCCTGTTTGGCAACTCTCTCTTTTTTTTTTTTGAGGCAGAGTCTGACCCTGTCACCCAGGCTAGAGTGCAGTGGCATCATCATAGCTCACTGTAACTTCAAACTCGTGGGCTCAGGCAATCCTCCTGCCTCAGCCTCTGGAGTAGCTGGGACTACAGGTGCTCGCCACTGTGCCTGGCTAATTTTTCTGTTTTTAGTAGAGATGGGGTCTCGTTCTTGTTCAGGCTGGTCTCAAACTCCTGTCCTAAAGCAATCTTCCCATCTTGGCCTCCCAAAGTGCTAGGATTATTGGCCTCCCAAAGTGCTAAAATTATAGGCATCTGGCTAGCAACTCTTTTTTGAAAAGGCTACTGTGTTTGGCCGTGATAAGCTTGTCTGAAGCTAGGGCCATAGAACTCTCATGAATGTGGACAATGGGACTTTGTTACTGACTACAGATACTGGAATGTCAAGCTTTTACTCCTGGATTCTTAAGGAGCTAAAACACAAAAAGACCTGACAAATAAAGGGGTGCTAGGATAATCGTCAATTGGAATAGCATTAAAGCTAAATATTAGGAAATATAAGAATTCAGAACTGAAAACAATGCCCATAGATTGCTAATGGAACTTGCAGGAAACTGAGTTTTAAGATCCAGAACAAAGATGGCCTGTCAGAGGATTTCATACAGGTGGAACACATCTAGGATAAATTTGTTAGGTCTGTTAAGGTTAATTTCAATCTGACATCTAAGAGCACAGGTAGAAACTACTATGTTTATCTAAAATTTACGGAAGTTGCAAAAGTCTTCCACACGGGCTTACAGGTACTGTAGAAGTTGGCTGAGTGATAGTTGTGTTGGGGATTTCCACGTGGATTTTTTTTACTGGTCAGTAGATCTACTCTTTATACTAGCCTTTCTTTCTTTTTTTAAACAGTTTTATTAAGATATAATTCATGTACCATATAATTAACCCATTTAAAGTGTACAATTCAGTGGGTTTTAGCGTATTCGCAAGGTTGAGCAGCTACTACGGTGGAGATTCTCATGCTGTCATGCCAGAAGTAGAACTCCTAGCTCTTTCTTTATTCTCCCACCCCCAAATGTACTTAGTGTGTCAGTGTATTTTGTTCTCCTTTGCTTAGGAATTTCTTTCTGGCCTCCAAGCTTGACTGTGATATAAGATGTAATATTCCCCAGCTTGTTTTTTCCTGTCTGCTTCTAAGATGAACAGCTTTTCCTTTCTCCTTTTAAGGGCTATGACATTAATTTATCAAAGGTGATAGGTGAGTATGTAAAAATAATCAAATGGTGAAGGTAGTACATTTACTTAGTGATCTCTGGGCTGAGTTTCTTACTCCCTCTTCAGGTAGCAAATGGAAATTTAATCCTTCCCAGCTCTCTCACCTCAAATTTTTATTTCTGAGAGAATATTCTGAAATTTTCGCCAAATATTTTTCTCTTCTCAGCATCATTTCTCAGCTTGTTATTGGAGAAGGCCTTAAATACATTCCTCCTTAAACATTTCCCAGTCGAAAATAGAATCCAGTCTAAGTAATATATGTTTACCTCTTTTTCAAATGGAAAAAGGAGGATCTTAAGCCTAGGCAATGTTTAGTTCTATTGTCCTTTTTCTGCACTTAGGCATTTGGGCACTCTGTAGTAAATGGCAAATGTCTAGAGTAAGTACTATCTTATTTTATATTTACATTCTTCTCACCATGTCTTATATGAAGGCTTTCACATAGCATGTACTTGATTATTGCTTGTAGAATGACTATTAAATGGAAGGTTTTTGAAGAAATAGCATCTAAAGCAGACTTTAAACTTGTGTTAACCTAATTCAAAACTGAAAATATATGAATTATGTTTAGTTTATGTAACACCTGGATCCAACTTTAATTTTTATAAAAAAATTCATTTTTTTTTAGACAGAGTCTCACTCTGTTGCCCTGGCTAGAGTGAGTGCCATGGCGTCAGCCTAGCTCACAACAACCTCAAACTCCTGGGCTCAAGAGA